TTTCTGCAGCAGTAACCACTCCACTTGATGTTTGTAAAACACTGCTCAACACACAAGAGAATGTAGCGCTCAACTCCATGAACATCGGCGGTCACATATCAGGAATGGCTAATGCCTTCAGGGCAGTGTACCGGCTGGGTGGTCTGACAGCTTTCTTCAAAGGGGTCCAGGCTAGGGTTATATATCAGATGCCCTCCACTGCCATTGCTTGGTCAGTGTACGAGTTCTTCAAGTACTTCCTGACGAAGCAACAGCTGGAACAACGGGCAGGGCCTGGGCCGCTGTAAGAGAAAATATGTTGGAGCAACCTCACCCAGAATGAACTCCAACCTGAAGGTGTGTGAGCTCCACGTGTTTTTTTGCTGTAGAGGAAATAACATCATTGTGTTGGAGGTGTGGCAGAGAATGACACTCCTTATTGTTCACTTACGTAAGTCTGTGCGTGTTTCTGATGTGGGATGATCTTGCTCAACCAGTATATGCAACAGAGATGACAATTCCTAAAGGACAGATACGTGTAAAGGAGTTGTTGTTTCTCCTCTGCGACACAAACGGAGCACACCTAGCTCTTTTCTACATGTGGTGTCCATATAATAACTTTTTCTTAAATGATCTTTATGGTGGTTAATACTGGAACTTTTTATTTATTTTGGTAGCTTTCTGAGGCTTGTGGAAGAAACACAATGCTGTTTCTTTTACTTTATGGTATACTTATAAAGAACTATTACAGTGCATTCCCAAGTTTCCACTCCAGGGTGGATGGAACAGTTGAGCTTTCCAAGTGCCTAAAAATATTAAATGCTACTTCACCTTTTTTCCTCTTTTACTGTCCTGTTTGTGACAGATGACATACTTCCATTTTTCCTTTTTAATTTGGTGCAAATTGTATAAAAATGCATACACAGTTGTGTTGTAAGAAATAATCTGGCAGTGGCTTTTTATAACAACACATTTGTCAAGCCTCAACCTATTAAACTGGATTTTATTTATTTTATTTATTACCTGCAGCAGTGGTCAGGTTCCAGTCTCCAGAATTTCTTTTTACTTGTTGCCTTTTTAACTGCCAAATACCAGATTTTCCCTCCTGAGAGAGCCACTGTCTCTCTCAGTATCAAGGTACAGTGCCTATAAAAAAGTATTCACCCCTTTGGAATTGACTGCTTTTATTGATTTTTATAAATCAATCATGATCAATATAATTTGGCTTTTTTGACAAAAAAAACCTATTAATGTCAAAGTGAAAACCGGTTTCTACAAAGTAATGTCAAATAAAAATATGTAATGTGAAATAAGTGATTGCATAAATATTCACCCCCTTCAAGTCAGTGTTTAGTAGATGCACCTTTGGCTGCAATCACAGCACTGAGACTGTGTCAATAGGCCTCATTCATACTTGCACATCTGGACACTGCAGTTTTACTCCACTGTTCATTGCAAAACTGCTCAAGTTCTACCAGGTTGTATGGGGATCAGGTGTGAACAGCCCTTTTCAAGTCCAGCCACAAATTCTCTATTGGATTGAGGTCTGGGCTGAACTCTGGGGGATGTTCAGTGTCTTGGAAATGTATCTATCCCCTGACTTATACTTTTCAGTAACCTTTTCTCTGAGTTGCTTGGAGTGTTCTTTTGTCTTCATGGTGTAAAGGTAGCCAGGAATACTGATTAAGCAGTGACTGGACCTTCCAGACACAGGTGTCTTTATACTACAGTCACTTGAGATACATTCACTGCACTCTGGTGATCCCTGTTTCAGTAATGGTGAGACTACTAGCACCAATTGGGTGGAACTCTGTTGAATTAGGTCAGTCATTTTAAAGGGGGGTGAATGTTTATGCAATCACTTATTTGTCATTGCCTATTTATTTAATTGACATTACTTTGTAGAAACCTGTTTTCACTTTGACAGAGGTTTTTTTTGTAATTTTTTTGTCAAAAAAGCCAAATTATATTGACTATGATTGATTTATAAAATCAATAAAAGGGTAAAACATCCAAGGAAGTGAATACTTCTTCATAGGCACTGTACGTAGGCCGTAACGGTCCAGTTATTTGCCTTGTTAGAGGGCAGTACTACAATGCTGCTGAATCATGCACAATAATTAAGAGTCTTACCTGTTGTAGAAAGAAAACAGCTTGTTTCTATGTACTGATAAATACAAGTATATATTTTGGTGAGTGCCTGTTTCTTAGAAACTCCATTATGCAGGTACCAAGGTGGAGCAAACACGGGTGTTAAGTTTGATGGTGGCCATATCTCAACCTTCATGTGCTTTTGTGCTGGTGTGATTTGTAACTTTTAGATTTAGGTTTTTTTGTATGCCATATTGACCTTAACCCTAAAACCTGTACATTTTACAATGGCAAGGAAAAATATATGAACTCTTTTTAATGAATTAATTTGTCATAAAATGTGATCTGGTCCTTGTCTTCTGTAAGTCACAAGTACTACACAACTATAGGCAGTAGCTTTGTTGATGTCATTAGCATTGGGGCTCACAATCCCTACACTGGGAATGTTTGGATGATGTATTCAATGTGGACAAGACCAATGCATTAATTTCTTTATTAGTTGTAACAGATTGTATGTTCATTATTGTAACTTAACTGAAAAGTCCATCATGTTTTGAAGAATGTATATATACTGATTTTCCTGCTTTTTCTTGCCCCTGCATAAGTTTGGTGTAGACTTTCTGCAATCTAATATGTACAATCATGACTTTAATTTTAGTTTGAAAGTGACTAATAATATTGGGGGCTGTTAGCCTGAGACAGTAAAAGCCTGATCAACTCAGCTGGTAAGCAGGCGAAGTGATTTATTTTCACTCTTCCCTTTGTAAGTAAGCGTTTCCTGTGTGCTCATTCCTCTCTCCAGCCTATTGTCTATTTTTGATTTAGTAGTCCAGACATTCCTCCAGATATTGCTGTAATCCAGCAAGCAGCCAGCTTGACTTGGTTTTAATGAATTTATTTTCTCTTACTCTGGAAAAGTTCAGAAAGTCTGTCAGATTCCAATCATCACAAACAAATTAATATACCAAAGACATGCAGTGGATTCTATGCATCTTGCTATGTGTGTACTTGCCTGTTGTCGGTTGTCATTTTACCTTTTTTCGCCCCACAGTTTCCAGTCAGAGGTGTGTTAAATTGCCCAGCCATTTGAATCCTTCAGTATCCGAGGCTTGCTTTCTGTATGTGTTTGGAGCTTGGTGTTGTCAGAAAAGTAGTTTCTGCTTCAGGATTTTCATTTGCTCCTGGAAACAAGTTTTTCAACTCAGAATCCTCCTCTGATTTGAAGTTAATCATATGATAAGCAAAGTCAAGTTTACTGCATTACACTTGCAGTGAACAGTGTTTTCCCTCGAAGTGTCGATTCATAATACTGAATCATTATACCCAAATCGTGTTGCTGCCATGGTGTCCCAAGTATGTTGAACTAGTTGAAGTAGTGTTTCTAATATATGCTTACATTTTAAAGGGGATAGGAAAATGATATTTTATGAGGATTTTCATAATATAGATATTTTTATGATATTTACGCACAAATGATTGAAATGGGAGGAAGCTTGGTAGTTTGACCATGCAAATAAATGAGTGTGATAATGCTGCTACACTATTGTAACACTGGAGCTGAATTAAACATGAACCTGAGGAACGCTGTGTTTTGTGTTTTGTTTCAGGATCCTCTGTGTCCTGTCTCAATATTTCAGATGCTGGGGAAGATTTTAGTCTTTCAGCATTAATGCCAAATTTTTTAAAAGTTGACAGGGATCTCAGTTTGATAATACCCCATTTCTATCTGAACAAGAAAATTAGCTTTCCTTGAGGAAATTAACATGAATGGTATAAACTTGACTGTGAACACACTTTAAAGGTAAAATAATCAAAAATGTCTGACTCATCTCAGCAAGAGTTAATGTCAGCATTGAAAATGTGAAGAACTAATAGTTCTAACTAACTAAAAACCACCGCAGGCACAGGCTGCAAGGGTGGTTAAAAAGAAACGAAGATGCAGTTGGTGACCAGTCCCTGGACAAATACAGTACTCTTCCTGAGTATTTGCACTCTGGTTCTACTTTGAAAATGAAAAGTGTTGGATTAGTACTGCCCATTGTGCCCACCAAAATATTATAAATAAATAGATAAGTATAAAGATAAAAAACATACAGCAATGTTACATAAAAAATCAAATAGGAAATTCTTGCCAGCTCTCAGTGGGTCTATTTCTTCAGTAAAAAGGCAGCAGCAGAAGGTTGATAGACTTGTTTGAGAATGAAAATGGATTAGAAAGCAATGGAGAAAAGTGACAGAAAGAGAGAGAAGGCATTAATATGCTGCAAAATGGGACCTGACATTATAGGCGAGGACCTGACATGTTCCTTGTGTTCAGGTGTTGCTTCACATATCCTCTAGGAATACAAGAAGCCTGGCTCAAGGTCAGTACACCTGGAGACATAATCTAGTGTTGAAATGTTTAGCAGCAGCTACTGAAAGTGGGTGCTTGGTGAACTCAATGGAGGAGAAGAAGAAACAAGAGGGGATTTTGTTTGCGAGGGTGAAAAAGAAAACAAGTCATTTTGAACAGGCAAAATAAAGACAGCAGAGATTGGCAAATGAAAGTAGACTTAGCGAATTAGCTCATAGTTCCTGAGGAGATAGTCAGTACTAACCTCAGACTGGACAGTGTATTTTGTCAGTCTTGAAGTTGCCTTGGAGGATGCTGTAGAAACATCTTATGTGAGGAAAAAAATCTGAAATAAACAGTTAGCCATGGAAGTAAAGGAGCATGGCTGGAAAGTTAAAGTCCACCGAGTGGAGGTTGGCTGTGTAGGATTTGTAGTCAAGTCAGCTTTAAGTGGGTGGAGCCTAAAACAAAGTCAAAACTTATCTGACAGTGTAGCAAGGTCCAGTGAGTGGCTCTGCTGTAGAAGTAAGGTGTGTGAATGGGGTAAAAGTAAACTGTGTGGTAACAGACTGAATTATTAAGAGAGCAGATGAAGGGTTGTGTTGGGTGTATGGGTGCAGGCGAAGAGGGGCGTGGTTCTGGGACACACTGTTGATCCTTTTGGTGTTGTTAGCCCAACTCAACAAAACATCAGTTAGTGAGAGGGTGTCCACCTGATGACCCTGTAGACTTGACTCCACTCGTACACCCACACAGAACTTGTGTTGGTGATGTAGTTATTGACTCAATGGGGCTGTTGGTACTTTTCCCTCTTTTGTTAGAAAATCTTGGTAGAGCAATGTTAGTGTTTGGACAACTGAGTGGACCTGGCTCTCACAAATGACTGCTCTTTGCTTGGGTGAGGATAGGATTTGGGGTTGCTTTGTGTTAAGGGTAGGTTAGGTTTGGAAAATGGTGTTTGCTTATTGTGGGGCTCTGAAGATTTATGACAGCATAGCCTGGCACCACTGTCTTTGCAAAATAATGGGTGAACATTTAAGTCATATACTTAGCTTCCATATGAATACTCTCCCATTCTTTGGCACACTTGTCTATTTTTGACTGCCCATTGTGCCCACCAGTATGTGCTAAAAATATTATAGCAATATCATGTTAAAAAAATAAATAGGGAATTGTTAACAGTTTTCAATGGGTCTCTTTCTTTGGTAAAAAGTATTTCACACAGAAACTAAATCTTAAAGTGTGTTATCCAGACTAACTGGTACACACATCAATACAGCACCACACTCAAAAATCTATTTCCCTCATTTGCACTGGGGTGGAGACAGACATCACAAAAACCACTGTCTGAAAACTTAAACTATCTACATAGCTAAATGCTGGTAGTAAGTGAGAAAATGCATTACTCAATGACCAGTTGACTTCACAGTGCTGTTTGGCTGACTGTATAAACACTAATGTATCAAATATCCAGAAGAAATGTTGCTGCTCTGTGCTGTCAGGTAATTGTTGCTTTTGATTTACATTTGATGTTTTAATCTAAGCTTCTATCTATATATGCATTTTAATGTTTTATCTATTTGTGGGCACTGTGTTAATCACTTTGAATTCCATTTGTGTAGAAAACGTGCTATATACTGTAATAAACTTGCCTTGCTTTGAAACCTTTGTGAACCAACCCTTTTAAAATACAGTTTGCATCCTGCAGAAGTTCTACAGTCCAGTAGAGGGTGGTACAGTGTCATGATTGTCACTAACGACAGGTGGCAGACGGTCCTTAAAGGTGGAACTGATGACACACTGTTTCTGTCACTCAATACTCAGATACACAATGATGATTTAATCAGTCCAACACTATTGACTCTATTTTGTTTTTCTCTAATAGTTGAAAACACACCAACTTGAATTTAAAATGAGTTTGGAGGTACCTATTTTGCCAACACAGATGACTCAGTATTTATTACAATAAATAAATAAAATGTTTCTTACACATCAGATGCATCATTCTGCAGGGCAGAACATTTTCTGCCTTTCAATCTACATCTCATTGTTTGCAATTTATAACCTAAAGAAAGTCACTAAAAAATTTTCACCTTGCTTTTGTATGTATATATTGTATCCTGTTAAGTTGTGAACAAAATAACAGAGCGCATACAGTAGGCTACACCATCTTTTCAAACTATACCTCAGAAGTTATCCAAGAACCTGATCAGCTTTAACTCATGGTATTTGATTGACCAGGCTGCTCTTGTTGCTTTCCATAAAAACATGACAATATACAAAAAGATGTGCACATACTTCCTTTCTGCCTGTATTTGCTGACCTTGGATTATTTAGTTTTCCATGTAGTAGAGTCTGAAAGTAAAAGCTGTATTTCAAATACATGCCCTACACATAAGACAGTGTGTAATGAGAGCAAAACCAGACATTTTTTAAGCTAAAATGCAGACAGTGCAGGGTTTATTCTGAACCAACATGCTGTAGGACACGCACACTTGTGCTGTAACAGTGTTGTTCCTGATGTGTTTAGTTTTCTCACTTGTCCATAAGCAGGTTGTTTATCTGAAGCTCACAATGAACAGGCCCTCAGCCCATGTCCTCTATCCTTGTCATACTTTTCTCTAATCACCTTCATCTGCTGTAAACTGTCCCACTACTTTATACTGTTATCCCATAGATACACTGGAAAATTGCTCTTCTCTGACTGCCTGTTCCCTTTCTTTCTGTCTCTTCCTCCCTCATATGCACTAATCACAACCAAACAGTCATTGTTAGCTATCAGATAAGTTGGATGCACAATGTAGTATCTACTGATAGGAGAAGAAAACCAGCTGCTCTATTGGTACCGTAACATGAGGGATTCAGTTACACTCTCCCAGGAAGTTTATGAGTATTCCCATGTAAAAATATCAGGGCCATTTTATACCTCCTTATCAACTCTCAGAAATTTGTCAGACAGTCATGGCATATTGAAGCAGCAACAAAGGAAGTCATTGTGGTAGGGCTTTGGCATTCTCTTCATCTTTTATGAAGATCTTCTTGTTTTTCAAAGTATCACTGGCCACCTCGAAGAGCACAACGATGGCTCCGTGACCGCACCGCTTACTGCCTCGCACAATCAAATCCCTGACAGTGAAGATAAACTCTTGAGAATAGAGACTTAACCATGTATTTCTTGGCATTTGTACCTGCTTCATTTCCATATCCCAGAAAATCTTTAGTCATGCCTTGGCAAAATCTGTGAACCCACAATAAGGAGGAGATAGGGCAGTGATCTTGTAAACTCTACCTCGCTGCTTTTCATCATTTACTTACCTAATCCAGGTGGTGTAGAGACGCTCCCTAAGTCTGAGGAACTAAACAGATGATAGCAAACAAGAGGGTGTATTTTTTTTTAAGTCTTCTGTATTTTTGAGTACTTTGTTACTCTGAGCCTCCGGAAATGCAGGTATTACATTGCAAATACAATAATAGTTCTACTAAGCTTCAGTTTCACCCCTCAGCAAGCTTCTTTATCTGATGAGTGTGTTCATACCTCCTGAGAGACACTGAGAGATCCTGTCAGATTTTCAGTCAAAACAGATGTTATCTTCCCTCTTCATGTCTAATTATGTGTTTACTTCAAGGGCCTGGAGTGAGTGGTGCTGGTACTGATGGTAAGAACTTACTTTAGTTTAGGGAAATCTTAAAGATTCAAGATTCATGTTTGGTTTCATTTTGTCACTTTTTAAATGACAAAATGAAACTTTTTAAAGGTTTGTTGGAATGAGTACTAACACAGGGGATAGGATTCATGGATGCTTTGTGTTAAGGAAAATGGTTTTGCTTATTGTGGGGCTCTGAAGATTTATGATGGCATGGCTTGACACCCCCCTCTTCGGGGCCTAATAATAGGTAAACATCATTTAACTCGTATACTGAGCTTCCATATGAATGTTCTGACATTCTTTGGCACATTTAATTGTGTATTATTGATTGTAAATACAGTATGTCACAGTATGTACAGCTGTCTGTGTGTTTGTAAGCTGGCATTTACAAAGTATTATCACTCACTTTGTATAGATGCTTGTGTATATATAGGATTGTCTGATTTGGGTTCATATAAAACAAGTGAATTGATCCATCCATTCATTATCTATACCACTTATCCTGAATAAGGTTGCAGGGGCTGGAGCAAAAGGCGGGGTATGCCCTGGACAGGTCGCCAGGCTAAGTGAATTAAAGGGAATGCTTAACAGAAATATTATAAAAGTTAAAGGAATTATGCCAAAGACTGGAGAAAATAATGCTCTCAGTAAGAAATATGAGTAATAATCTTTTGACACTCGACTCTTTATAAGACCCATGAGGGCAGCTACTTCACAAAGTCAAGCACCTTACTGGCATGGGCTTTTAAGTCTCCCTCTGTCAATCCCATCAGTCCTTTGCTCACATTTTGGTTGTGTTACAACAAACCTGACCTTCTTACATATGTAAAACCCTAAATCTTGCATGCCATCTTATCAGCACTGATGGGAACTGTGCTGAATCAACCCAGCATTGCCAACCTGCATGAAGCAGGTTACGCTCATTTCTTAGTTCAGTGATACTCTAAGACAATACTTGGCTAATGAAAGACCAGATGACAACATGTACACATACATAAAAAGGCATATAAGGCCTGTAATAGTAGATATTAAATGATAAACACTTTGGAGTAACATACACCTCTGAACCACTTCTCTGTCCAAGTAGTTATGCTTCTACACTGTTGTCTGTGAGGTTTTTCTGAGGTTGACCTCCGTTTGTGCCAACAATGGTGGTTAGCTTAGGAAAAACTATCCATTGAGAGTAGAAACAGAGGCTGTGAAACAAATGCACCGAGTGGAGGAGGTTCTTGCCTATAGCAGGAGCATACAGATGAATGACAAGGCCTTTAAGCAGAGATGTAAGGGGTGTGGTTAGCTGTTGGCTGACAAGGCACAGTGTGATGTATGACTTGCTGAGGAGTGTCCTGCCAGACCTCATTCATGATTTTTCTTTGTTGTTTAAAAAAGATATTTTATTTAACCTTAAAAAAACAGACCATGTATATGCTTCTGATTTTATTATACACAACCCAACTCCATTGAACCTGAAGGTTCAGCTTTGTGGTGAAGGAAGCAAGTGGCCTTACCTGATGAGGGATATACAAGAGGTCATCTGATAACAAGAGGAGACAATGGTCTATATTTAAGACATGGATAATATCAGTTCTGTAAAGGATAACAAAGTCCATCCCATATCTGATACCTGTAGCAGAGCAGCTTAAGGACGTGCCCTGTCTCACATACTGGCACACAGACGCAGCTCATTTTTTCACTGCATCAGTTAAGGTTGTCATTTTTTTTTCTCATGTTCCTTTTGTTCTTTTATTCATATGCTGTTATCTGTAATATCTCTATAAACCTATCTGTTTACAATTGTTTTTATTACTGAGATTTCCCTAAATGTTATAAATGATAAATTGCAGTTTTAGTTTCATACAGTAGCTTTTCTCCCAGTGTCACCACAGGAAAACTGAAGAGCACTTTATCTTCATGTATTCAGGTTAGGCACTCTAAAGGAATCGGGTGTCATTGTTTAGCCCTCATTTACAATATCACCCTCATCTTACCCTAGTCTTACCCTCTTTTGTAGTGCCAGAAAACAATTCTGCACATATACTTTAAATGACTTCAGTAAACACTCACATTTTCAGTATTCAAGTGTTAAACTTACAGTATATGCAGCTAGCTGCTTCATTATTAACTAATTGTTAAGATGTTATGCCAGCATTATCATCTAAAAGTTGCTTCCACTTTCCCTGTGTTTTCCTGTAATAGACCTTTTACCACAAACTGTGCTACATGTCAGAACTGTTAAGGTTTGCTAAAGATTTGCTGAGAATATGCCTGGATATGTGACAATTAAACTGCAGTTCAACTTATACTATATACCCCCACCAGCACCACAAATATTTTAAGCAAACCTTAATGAAAAATAAAACGTATCAACATTAATTTAATAGTGAACAATGCTTCAGCTGGGTGTGTTTTTGAACAGTCATTTTAGATGACATATTGGTAAATGTGGATTCAAAACTGATGTCAAATAGCAGAGAATCAACTTTGATAATGAATAGACCCTAAATATTGGGACTACAAAACATAGGTTATTGTAAATCATAGCTTCGTGCTTAATTTTAGTTTCACCATAATGTTGGGCCCCAGGGGCCACTGTAGTCCCACCAGTAGGGTCTGTGTTGGTAAGCTTTGCAGAAGGAGGTAATTAGTGATGATCGGATCAGACCGTCTCTCAAGCCCAGCTCCTCTGTTTTGTACATGTCCTTACAGAACTCTGATGTCTGCTGCTTTCGTTTGGTCTTATACCTCCGGTTCTGAAACCAGATTTTCACTTGGGTCTCGGTTAGTCTTAAGGTGCTGGCCAGGTGAGCCCTGTCTGAGGCAGACAGGTATTTTTGTTGGTTAAATTTCTTCTCCAGTTCAAGCACTTGGAGGTGTGTAAATGCAGCTCGGGAGCGCTTCTGTTTTCCTGTCGTGGAAAAGCTGCTGGACTCTGCGTTGCTGTGACAGGATGTGTCCAGAGACTCTGTGAGATACAGATTGGAAAAAAAATAGTTAGTATGGTGCAGTGTGCATATCAGGCTGTGAAGTGGTGGTTCCAAAACAAGTTCTTGATAATCATATTCCATGTAACAGGCATTTTCCCCCTTCAAACTATATTTTTATATGACTTTGCTAAAGCTTCTCATGATACAGACCTATAATAGATCTCACAAAGATTCATTTCATCTTCTCATTTATTAGTCTGCAATCAAACAAGATTCATTTTTCTTTATAGCCATCATATTCCTGCTATTTCAAGCCTGCAGAAGCTCACCTATCTGCACTCCAAACCCTGACTCCTGAGGGTAGAGTTGCTCTGACAACTTTGCAGATTCTTCTTTCCACTGTGAACATCTTTCCATCTTCTGCGAGCAACATCTGGCATTAAATCTTGTGCTTTCCTTAAAGGAGAGAATGTCCTCTATGAGGAAGGAAGTCAGAGGTTTGACTGCCTCAGACATTTCCATCCAGTAATCCACAAATCAGAGGTCTATCAGTGGGGCTGCAGCGGGGATGTGGTTGAAGCGGTGTGCCTCCTCACATGCTCACACTGTCTGAATTTATACAAGAGCAAGGGCGGGTTGATCCAGACTGCACTGACAAGAGAAGGAGGCGGGACAAGCAGCTCACTAAGGTAACTTTGTTTTTGCCTCGTCATTTCAATTTAATGAACATTTCTGCAAGCTTTTGTGTGGATCTTGTCATATATGTGTATAGGCTCTTTAATACGAATAGTATATTGTATAACATTAATACACTATATTTTGTTTATTATGGCCTAGCATATGATCTACCTATGCTGCACTGTAGATGTAGGAAGTGAAATATTGTATTTGATGTAAACAAAACATACAGAGGCTGTAAACTACCACTCCACAACAATGGGTTTTAGTATTTAAATGGTATATAGACAAGAATCTAACTGGTTAAATTTATATTCAGCAAAACAGTGTAACCCCATGCAAACACCAAAAGTCCCAAGGTCTTGCAACATGCAACTACAGTTTCAGATTCATTATGTAGTATTAGAGATTGTTAGAAATATGGAGGTGTTCTGGTGAATAATTTTACTGTATATCTTGAGTTTCATGCCTCCACCACCTCAGGGCAGTCGCCCAGTTGTCTGTGGCTACAGAGAGACACTTCTGTCTGCAGTAGGATGGGAGGCAGAGTGGGTGGTCATACCTACCGGACCACTAATGAGTTTAACACATTTAGGCCGGCTCCTGAACTGACACAGTCATTGTAGAATGATTGTTTATTTGTTGTTCTCTGTGGCTCAGTTTTAACCTTTCTCCAGAGACTCAGGCATTTCCCAGCAGCCTCTGTGTTCCACTGGGAGTTCATGCTTCATTTGGAAATGCATGAATGTAGGTATGATAAACATGATCCTCTTCATGCCCTCTAGCCCTGTTGGCTCCTCCAACTGCCCTGCTCCAACCACATACCAAGCAGTCACCAATGCTATATAATATATACTGTATAGTCATCAACTATACTGAGATTGATCTTAAGCATCCATTGCTGTCTTGCTGGCACAGTATGAAGATTATCTCTATGATATGCTTCACCTTGAATTCTTTGTGCCCATTTGTCTGCAAAAGAATGTTGAATTGTAAGTACAGGAAGATTGTATCCTGCTCTAATTCTGCCTCAGAAAAAAAGAGAAAAGAAAAGGTATGTATTCAGTCTAATGACATGGGCATTAGGAAAGACAGCAGTGAGAGTTGGTACCTGTCCAGTGCTGGGTGGAGCTATGACTCTTTCAAGACTCCATTCTGAGGCCATCTTCATGATCAATTCTTTCACACAGACATTTAGCTACACAGTTTTTCATTAGACATGACATAGTAGAACCACTGACCTTAAGGCCTGGAAACACATTTGTCTTCCACAGCAGGTAATATGTGTGTGACAGTGTTTTTGCTGAGTCAGAGCGAGATGTTGCACCATTAGTCTTCTGTTTTCCTGCCTGTTTTGTTTTTGTCTGTGATGTGAGTGAGACTTTGTTGTGACAGCAGGTTTTGTCAGACCAGATTAATCTGGTCAGCAGACATCAACTTAATGTTTGGATAATGTATAATGGCCATGAACTAAAGCATCATGTAGCGGTTCTTTTTGGCTTAGAGTACATTTGATCTAAGATGAATTACACCCTCTTTGTAGGAGTTTCTTGGATATATTTTGGTAATTACTGCACATAAATAACTTTATGACCTGAAAGTGATTTGGTAGTCTTTGACTAGAGGGCGTTTTAAAGCCACGCACAGGGACAACTACACTGTTTACCAAAGATTTAGTTTAAGGTAGTAACTTTATATTCCATCAGTGCTTATCTTTCATGCATTGTTTCATTTTCATTTAGCTCATAAGTACAAAATGTAGCTATCTCTTTTTCTGATTTAGTTGTGACAGAAGAACACTTGTCCTGGGGTTTGTGAATCATCTCAGTGCCAAACATAAACATCAGATTCAGATAAGCCAGCCATTTAAAAAATGTCACTACTGTATGTAGTCAAAGATGAGACATTTACTTTCCTGACACTGATGTAAGGACTTCTGTAAGATGACTTAAAGTCTTTTTAAGTAAACTATAATGGGCTTCACTGATGGCCACATCATCCTCTATTTAAACCAACTGACCCTCATGCAGTGTTAATCATAACAGTGTAATCACACATCTTTATTTTGGGATTTACTTTGATCTATACCTCTCTCTGTCACTCTCTCGGTCTGTTATTTCATATCTTCTCTGAGCCCACCCTGCATGTGTCTGATTAGCACCTCAATATCCCACTCTCTTTGTACATGCCATGTGTGCATATCTGATGAAATTTGACTAAATCCTTAAAATGTGCACCCTAAAATAAAACTACTGCACAAATGCTACATTTTTCCCACTAAGAAAACAGATTTGGCAATGCTTCAGTGAAACGGCAGTGATGGAAACATGCAGGTTATATACGCTTAACCTGTTTTGTTGCCTACTGTACAGGGCTTTCTCCACAGGTTGTAGTTTGCAAACCTATTTAATCAGTAATACAACAAAATACATATAATAAAATAAAATCATATTTAAAACTATGGACTTTTCAGAGGCACTGTTAAAATAACTGCTCTAAAGTCCCCCCCCTCTCTCTCTCTCTCTCTCCCCAGAGAGAGGCATTATCTGATCTCATGAAGTGTCTCTGGTCTCCTCTCTGTCTACAGATTCACCCTTATCTGTGCAGAAATGCTGTCCTCCCAGAGGTGTTCCTTCTCCTCAGGGTCCATTGGTTCTAAAACTGACGCACTGACACTTGTTCTGTTCATTCAGCTATTGTTTGAACATACAAGCCATAGTGAGTTTAGTTGAGCTCTTTAAACCACGTTTGATGTAATAATGTGATTCCTCTGCCTGTCATGTGGAACTGGAAAGTTTTTGCTTCAGTTACCACATGGCGCTGGGCTCCTTTAGTAGTCAGTCAACAGCACGGAATTAAACGGAACTAAGAAATATATCTCTTTTTTTCCCCAGTGTGTGTTAATTCGGTCCTGCCTCGATGAGTGACGGGTCAAACTGGAATAGTTTCCCGTTTGATTGAAGGTTTGAAAAAGTTAAAGAGTCACTCTGTCTGCGGGTTTGTTTACCAAGCAAAGCTTGGGGACAGGACAAGCTCTCCAGCCTTATCAGCGGATTTGTGAATGGGCCAATAATGAGCTCATTTTGATAGAGCAGCGCTGTCAGGTCAGATGTCTCTTCATTCATTAGCTTTCTGACCAATCTCACTGATAAGCTTCCCAGACTCAGCCCCGCGACCAGTTCAACTTTCCAGTCAGGTATGTTGCTTTTAATTGGATCCAACGAGAAGCTTTGCACATTTGAAATGGATCGATCGAGACGCTTGGTGACCTATAAAAGATTTAGTCCTTTCAACCTCTACTTCATCTCCATGCACGATAATAACGGTAACACTAAAGTTACTGTAAATGCCAGAAGAATAAAATAACAAAATAATTGAATCATAGCCCATGGAGCCACATTGTTTAGGCTAAAAACGTTTTTTTGTTTTTTTGGATTACCTGATATAAAATAATGCAGGCGTTTTCGTAACCAACAATAAATTTTATATCTTGATTTTAGAATTGTTATTTATGTTTAATCTATGTAATATATTTCGAAGAAAAACAAAGAATAATAAAGAATCTTCTCTTCAGGACAAAGTGTATTAAGAAATCAGGTGTTTTTTTTTCCATTTTTCTCTGGGTTTTTCAACAAGAATAAAACTGGCAATAGCCGACAATTTGATACAAGACATACAATAAAATGTGAGGGGAATATCTGATAACATTCCACTATATATACCTTTTTAATCACCAGTCTCTTCCACCTTGTAATGACGCCTCAAAGTGTCCGTGGTTGAAGGGCCCCTCGCTACCTGTTAAATCAAGCAGCTGGTTATAGGACATCTGTGCTGCAGTCATGCTGCCGGAAGATGACACACTGTGATAACCGCAGCCATACACACTGCTGTTTCCGTATCCAAACACAGGATTATAATGTCCAAATGTTACATTATAGGGCATTGAATGGGAACCAGCGCTGCACAGCTTCCCGTCCCGCACCAGCACCGGCACCGCCACCCTCCTCGGTGCAGGTGAATAACCCGCCAGCTCCAGAGACTTGTCCTGCCTTTGACGCTTACATTTGTACCTCCGGTTCTGAAACCAGATTTTGACCTGGGTGGAGGTGAGTTTGAGGATGTGGGCCAGGTGTTCTCTCTCCGGGGCGGACAGGTAACGCTGCTGCCTGAAGTGTCTCTCCAGCTCGGACACCTGAGACTGGGAGAAGAGGACCCGGGGCTTCCTGCGCTGCCTGGCTCTGCCTTTTGCGCTTTGGTCGTAATCAGGTGAACTGTGGAGACCGCTGATTTCTGCAACAACGAGAAAAACATAGATAAATAAATAAACATATTGCAACTTAGACTACAAACTTCAAAACTTTCAGACTATTTGGTTTCCAAAAACAATACATTTGAACTATACATATTAAAATGCATGACAATATTATATTAAACTTTATCTTTAAATTTAGCCTACTTTGTAAGAGACCACCGTTATAATTGTTTCCATTGCATAATTTCTGCAGTGTATTTTATAACAGCTATATTTATAAACTATATATTATAATGTATACAGTATTTTGTATAGTTCTGCCACCTATTTGCAAAAATAAAACGAAGTAAAATGTAAGTTCATCTGATCATTTTACACATTTTAAGACATAACCAAATTCAGAACAGATTTTAGGTTATTTGCCACACTTTATCTACTAGTTTGTTGACATTGTATAAAAAGAGCACCTGTAACGGTTGTAAGGGATTACAGTGACTGAATGATTATAACATTAATAATAAGAATAAAGATGATGTTAGTCACAAGGCAGTGCTCCTTCTTATCGTCATATATCTTATGTTATTACGTTCGGGTGTTTGGTGGCAAACGTTTCCCTCATACACTGTGGTTTATTGAAATAAAATTATTGTTAGTAGGTTAATATTTGTGTTTGACAGTAAACACATGTGAAGGAAAGTGAAAATACAGCAGATCGTAGGCTGTATTTCTTTAAGGTCCCGTTCCGTTTCGGGCGGCCTAACCCCCCCCACACACACCACCATTACTGTATAATGGTATATATGTTATCTCACCCTGCTCATTTATCTCCTCTGGTGCTGAGTTGTGGTTCTTAAGCTTCTCCTGCGTCCCAGAGACACATGGTTCTGGTTGGGAATCATTCAAATCCCTGCTCTGGGACGCAGCGTGCACGTGCTGATGATCCATAGGAACAACATGGCGAGTTATCAAGAAATCATTTTCAAAGTCATGGTGGTGCTCCAGCTTCAAAATATCCTTGACAGAAAAAGGCGTCGAGGTCGCTGAACTGGGATGCATCATCCCCAACCTTGGCTGTAAATGGCGTTTGATCCCTTTTACGCACCGTGCTCGAGCTGCTGCTGGTGATGCTGCCGGATGTACCTCTTAACTGACTGATGAGTGAGGGCCTGGGAAGGTTTAAATCATTCAGGGGTCCAGCTAAAGAGCATGGGTAGAGATTTATCTGTCACCCCTCTCCAATACACTGGCCAACACCCAGCCTGCGCACCCAGGCTCTGCAGCTCCGTTTCTTCTCACCTTACAGGAACAACTCTTATCAAAGCCACTCTTTTCTCTGTGTGAGGAGATGTAATTTAGAAGGCCAATTAAAACAGGACAGTAGTTGATGTGAGTGACATTTCTGGACTTCTAACAAAACTACTGGAGCCACAATATTTAGGACGAACTTATGGGTTTTATACTGCAGCTTGGTTTTTAGTAATTCATTGTCAGGAAAGGTTGCGTACTGCTGAAAGTGTTAGTTTTTAAAAAGCCATTTAAAGGCTGCTCTTAAAACGTGGAAAACATTTACACCTTCTTTACCTAATGCCCGTAAATGTTCGTATCAAAAAGTGAACTGTTTGTTGCCGAGAATTTGTTGAAACAAACGCATTAGCATTAAAAAAAACAAGCGAAAGCACTCCATCTTAATTAACACGATTAATTATTTCAGTGTATACCCAAACCAGGCTTCAGTTGAGCTAAGTAAAGCCACTTAAACAGCGCAAGCCCACGGGGGTTGAGTGATCTTTGGTGATGTTGAACAGCTTTACCATCAACATTGTTTTCCAGCCACGTTATTAGTGTTCTCAGGCCACAACAAACAGTAACACTACCCCTGATGTTGTGGAAGTGGAGAGGCCGCGGCGCCAGCCTGCGACGCATGACTGAGACCGAGACGCGCGTCCAAACAGACAAGAACAAGGACAGATACTAGCTGTCCCACTGCAGGACACAGGGAGACATTTGGAGAGCACTTATAGGACTGAGCAGAAGGTGTTTAAAGCTGGGATTGAAATTGTTGACAGCTGCTTTATTTAGAACAATAGTAGTGTTAACTGAATTTCGGTGTAGAGACCTAAGTGACAATAAACTTCCTTATGTCCTTGTGTCCTAATGGCCTTAAATGAAAACATGGTGCCACTTTACAAATTTACAAACCCTATATATGTAGGCTGTTTAACTAATGCCAGACTTATGTTGACTAATGAGCTGCGTGATTCCTGTTTCTTACTGTTGAGAAATTATCAAATTGTCCTGCTAACACACTGCAATTTATATGTGTACTGCCTGCAGCAAATGGTTAGATCAGAAAAATCCGAAAATGTAATGCATGCGCCTCTCCAACAGAATCAACAACACAGACACTAACTAACCACAGAGATGTGAGTAGAGGCATCAAGTTAAACGTGTAAACTTCTGTGTAAATGAACCTTAAACCTGTAGTATACCTGAAACAAAATCGACCCCTCCGCTGTCTTACCAAGCCACTAGATGTCACTGTTTCTAGGGTTAAGCAGTCGATAACTAGTTTTCATGGTTGGTCTGTGGCATCAACCCTTTTGCAGCTTTTGTGTGCATCATAGGGTCTTTATCATTGAGTCAGCATTTTGAAAAAGAGTAAATGTTAACCCAAAATTTTAATTCTCCAGTTAATCAGTTCTATGGTGGATCACGGGAGGGCCTGTGAGCTGCACACCCCTTCTTACTGTGTGCTGAGCACTGTGCCGTCTGTGTATATTAATTCCATATGCATGGTTGTCATATCATGCCTGTTCATGGATAACCATACAGGACTGTGTTTAAGTCCACGTTTGGTACAGCTCTATTAGAAGATAAAATGGAAATCATAAAATGTTTCAGAATGTGGAATCTGTTGCTGACTGCTAAGCCATTCACTCCACAAATACAGTAGTAAAGTTCGCAGACGACACCACCGTAGTGGGTCTCATCTCAGACAATGATGAGACTCACTACAGAGAGGAGATCCAGCACCTGACAAGGTGGTGTTCAGATAACAATCTTGTCCCAAACACCAACAAGACTAAGGAAGTCAATGTGGATTATAGGAGGTCCAGGAAGACAATACATGCTCCTCCTCTCTTACACGGGGAGGTGGTGGAGCAAGTGGATAACATCAAGTTCCTGGGCATCCACATCACATCTGATCTGACCTGGTCTCTGAACACATCTTACCTGGTGAAGAAAGCCCAGCAAAGGCTGTTCTTCCTCAGGAAGCTGAAACGCACTGGTCTCTCATTTCAGCTGTTTGCAAACTTCTACAGAGCAACAGTAGAGAGCATCCTCTGTCTCAGTGCGACAGTGGTACGGGAGCTGCACTGCACAGGACAGAAAGGACTTGACTCGGGTGGTGAGAACAGCTCAGGGCATCGTAGGGAGTCCTCTATCTGTACTCACTATACACTGACCGGATCCAGAGGAGGGTCAGATGGATTGCTGCAGGCCCCACCCACCCAGGCAACATTCTGTTTGTGCCTCTTCCCTCCAGGAAAAGGTACAGGAATATAAAGACTAAAACAAACAGACTGAGACACAGCTTCTTCCCCAGAGCTGTGAATCCAATCACCCCCTAACCCCTAGTTACACACACAACCTCCCCCTTTGGACAGACACAGACAGAACACTGGACCTCAGCAGACAAAGACAGAACACTGGACCGGTGCAGACACACACCCATGCCTCTTCCTAAAGACTGAGATTTGCACTGAGCTGCACCTCATAATGTTACTACACTCTTTTGCTGCTAACATACTACTGACCTGATTAGGTCCCATACATCCCTTTTTATTTGCTCATTGTTTTATATTGACTTATACAATTTTGTGTGTTATGTAAATACAGTAACGTGTCTTTTAAGACAAGAGCTGCCGGAAAAAATTTCGTTGTGCTATGTATAATGACAATAAAGATTCTTGACTCTTGGCTGTTGTTCATCTTTGAATCTCCAAATGTAGACACTTTTTTGTCAAGAGAACATGGACACTTATTTTCTGATTAACAATAAAAACAAAACGACACTGACAGCAGTCAGTACAGCCAGAGTAGTCCTACAAGAGCTGCTGATAGCTATGGTGACTACTGCTGCTCAGTCCGTGGCAGAAACAGAGAACTGCTTTGGCCAAGGTATAACGCAGCAGAATTCAGTCATTAGTTGCATTATTTTAATTATTCTTTAAACATTATTATTAAATGTTTGCAATGTTACATCGCACATTTTCTCAAAAACATAGGAGTGAAAAATGTAAAAAGAATTTATAATTTAATGAATTAGATTTTTTTGGTAGTTTTTTCTATTATAATAAAGTGAAAGGTCTTTTATTCTTATTGCTCAGCATTACTATTTGTTAATGCCTATTCTTGAAATTCACCTATTTTCAATACAAATATAAGTAACAAAGATTAATAGTAGAGTCATGCTCTTTCATGGTGAAATGGAAAGATTTCTGTGGTTTAAAGATGTACTGAAATAGAGTAAAAAGTAACTTGTTTTGCTTAAGCGGTATAGAAGTTGATTTGTGGGTTTAATATGGGACTAATTTTACTGGGGTGTCTTTTTTCATTTGGTAGAGAATTACAAAATTTTGCATCAGTGCTGCTTTGGCTGCTTGTTGCACCTGCTTTCTTAGTAAAATGCCAGCTTTGTCTTAAACAATAGTTAACAGAACCTTAAAACTTAACGCAGTGCTTAAGATTTCAACAGTGGTATTCTGCAAAACAATCCCACTGCTTAATGACAACCCAAGAAACCTGAACTTCAAAGGCAGACGGGAAAAACTCTGAAGCAAGCAGTGAATTGTTTGACAGCTCAGGGATTTCAGGGTGTCCAGTTTGATGGGTAAATTGCTTAATCACTGCAGCAGTGTGCTCTGAAGGCTTGGAGCAATGCTCTCTCTGAGTTTTTGTGACTCCTTTTGCTTAAAAGAAAGGTTTTCCTATTGATTCCATCACATGTCCCCTCACTGTAACATAAGAAGCTAGTTAAGTACAGTTTCCACAAAATACCTGTAATTCATCATACAGCAAAATAGGAGGCTGATAGCAGCTGAAAGCTGAGACCGAGATGTCTCACACTGAGTGAAACTGAACCCAGCCTTCCTGTGGCCAATATACAATTAAAGAAACTCATCAAAATGAGTCTGTGGTCTGTAGCACAGGAGCACCACAGGGGACCGTGCCCACCCCTGTCCTGTTCACCCTATACACCTCATGCATCAGGGGAAACAGCAGGGGGAGTATAGAGGTCTCATTGATGACTGTGGGCAGTGGTGTAAGTCAAACCACCCCCAACTAAATGCATCCAAAATCAAAGAGTTTATCACTGACTTTCAAAAGCCAAAACCCACACAAAACCAGTGTCTATTGAATGAGTCTATGTGGAAATGGTTCATATCTGCAAGTAGCTGCAACTGGATGACAAACCGGACTGGTTGGAGAACACAGATGCCCTCTGTGGGGCAGACTGACTTTATTTTTTGTATCTTCTGAGGAGGCTTGGGTTTTTTAACATCTATAGGAAACAAGTACAGATGTTCTGCCAGTTGGTGCTGGCTGGCATTATCTTTTACATTGTTGTTTGATCAGGTTGCAGTATCAGGGGCAGGCTGGACAGAAAAAGCAGGCTCAATTGTTGATGTGCAGCTGGAATCTATAGTATCATTACAGTGTTGCCATCAACCAAAAGGGCATGTTCAGCCACAGGCTTCTGTCACTCAGAAGGTGATTAAATGTGGAGTTCTTATGAATCAGTTTTTTCCTATGGAACTACAGTTTGGTACCTGAAACACTGTGATTTGTACAGTATGATGAAAAATTTGGTGTAACTTCTTTTCACCCACTAGATGTCTCTGCCACACTGTGTTAATTCCAAGTGCTGCAATAAGTGGATAAATCCCACATTTGATGATTAGTGTGTGAGACAATCTCATTCATTTATTTTCTCTCAGCATCCTGCAGAGTCCTATTACACTTTATGTTCAGTTCACAAATTATAGAACAACGTG